ACAGAAATATCAGTGTCTCCTTGGAGATGGAGATGTCCTCTCTCTTGATAGTTCAGTAAGGTTCTCCTCTCATCTCTGTGCAAGGCTGTTGCCTTGTCACTGCCTGGTCTCACTTGGCCAACAACAAGCCATCTCTGTTTCCCCCTTCATAAAGGAGGGACCAAGCGATATGAGGTCTGTTCTAACCCACCCCAGCCTTTTCTTGTTTGAATCCGGTACATACTCATACTGTATACATGTTTTATTTCTAAAATGCTCAGCAAATCCTAGATCGTGTCTCTCAAAATGCTGACACCATTGTTCTTGTTATAGCAAATGAAGTGTGTGAAGCCCTTTCAGAATAGAGTAACAGGTGTAAATGGGTGTTTAAGAAACACAAGGATGATGAAAGAAGGAAAAACTGTATTTCCCGTCTTCACAAGACGTAAAACTGCCACTGTGGGAGACAACATGGGCTCTGTGTGGGAAAAAAGCAAAGGTCGCTCGGCTTTCAGAGGGTTCTCTTTCGTAAATAAGCCCAACCCACTCCTAGGAGAGCCACTCGCCACCCCAGGGATAAGAATCTTACTGACAGGAATGCCAAGAGGCCAGGTTCCCTGTGCCCCAGAAAGCCCGTTACAAGTTCCTTGGGGTTCTAGACGAGATTAGAATCTGAGACTCGCTGTCTGAAAAGGCCTGCACTATGTTTGTCCTCCTGCTGTGCTAGCCTGACTGTCCGCCCTGGGGGAGGACACCACTGCGAGGCCAACGGAGGCCCAGGTATAGGTTTTCAGAGTCTCATCATACATTTAAATTCTGCCTCATCTTAGACACGTTTCTTCATTTTGTCAGCGTTTCCCTGCCCTGATTTCCAGAGATCGTTGCTACCGTTTTTCGTTAAGTCAGACTCACTACCTTTTGTCATCCATTCTGACTCACAAGGAGCCCAGCGGACAGGATGGAAGCGCCCTGTGGGTTGCGGAGATGGCCACCTTTTACGAGAGTCCATCATCCTTCTCCTGAGGAGCGGCTGATGGTTTCAAACAACTGACCTGGTGGTGAGCAGCCCAGCTCGTAACCCACCTCACCACCAGGGTTCAAGTCACTTCTGGCTCATAGCGACCCTACATACAAAAGAACCAACACGGCCCTGGTCCTGTGCCATCCTCACAATTGTTGCGGCCTGTGGGGGCAACTCTGTGTCTGACTCCATTCTGACCCACAGAACAACAGTCTGTGGATATGGATATGGAGCAGTAGCTACCTTTCTGAGTTCTGTCCCCATCTCTAAGATAGAGAATATTGCCTACCACCTGGGTTGTGGAAAAGATTAGCAACAATGTGTATAAAACACCTCTGACGGTGATCCGCTAAAAGCAAGTCTCACCAGGGACAGGTATGCAGAACGCTTTTAGCATAGTATAGTGTCGCGTTCACGGATTCTATCAAGCAATCTTTAGATCTTCCAAGGAGAATACATCTTTTACGTATACATGTGGACACACACAAACCACAAGCCTGGAGGAGACTCAGTCTTTGGTTTTTATTCCCTCCCCTTTCTCTCTTCCTTCTGCTGTCAGAAGCCACTTCTTCTGACAGTGTCTTGTCCTCTTTGTAAATCTGTTAGCACTTGCTACAAGGTCTCTGATT